GAGAAGATTATAATCAATTTGTTTCAAATAAGGAAACATTTTTTTTAAAAAAATATGTCCATGTCAACATTATGCAAGTGAGAACTTACATACACATAAGTCATCTGTCTTCTTCTTTGTTTTTAATTTTGCAAATGTTTTTGGCTGGTCTTTTGGTTAACTTCTCTCTCTCTGCATTGCTCTGTCTTCTGGAAAACATCTTACATATTTAAAGAGCGAGCTTTTCTTTATCTCTCTCTTTTTTTTTTCATGTGCATTTTCCAAATGGGATTCAGCTGACCTAAATCCTGAAGTATAGAATTTATAGCACAGTTCTTGGTAAACAAGCTTAAGAGGATACAATCCCACATTATTTTTTTGTGAATCAGTTGTTCACTATTCATTCACTAAGTATTGAGCACTTAAAAGTTCTGTGACTTTCTCTAGATACTCAAGAGATTTTAAGTACTTTCTTTGGTTGTTACATTGTTCTAGAGAACAAGACTTACAATAAACGTAATTGTTACTATGAGTAGATACATTAGTACACTTTGTTACATGGTGATAATTAGAGAAAAAAGAGGAGAAAGATAGACTCAACAAAGGGAGTTTGGGTGTGGAAGAGATGGCCGTGGTGTCTGCAGTTTCAGAGAGTACCGGTGGCATTTGAGTTGAAGCTTGAAGGTGGTGAGGGAATTGACCCTTCAGTTTTTGGAAGGAAAGACCACAGGGTGATGGAAATGGCTGGTGTCACGCGTTCTGAGCCAGGAGGCCACAGTGCCAGTATGGAGAAACAGCAAAGAAGAGAAAGCACTGGAGGAAGATTGGGCACTGCTGTGTGGGCCACTGATGCAAAGGCTGACTTTGACCAAACTGAGAACTGTCAGGAAGCATAGCCTGATCCAGCAGGAGTGGGCTGTAAAGGAATCCCACTGGTTTATATGGATTCCAGAGATGACAGTAGAAAGAAGAAGGCCAGATTAGTAAACTAATGAAACAATTCCTGGAAGAGATAATGGTCACTCAAAGCAGCAAGCTGTGTGGCCAGATTTGGAGTGTGATCTCAAACCGAGCAGGCAGATTGGGCGGTGGGCCATGTGAATGGGGGACGGGAGGAGCATGACTCCAAAGGTACTCTTGGTCTGAATGGCCAGAAGCCTGGTGGTGTCAACATCTGAGTGGTCGGAGGAAGTAGGTGTTGAGTGTTGGTTCCATGGACAGCAAGATTTTGAGATGTCTCTTGGATATCCAAGTGGGGATGTCAAGCAGCAGATTGTTGTGTATCTAGAGTTGGGAAAGAGGCCTGAACTGGAGATGACACTTTGACAGCTAACAGCTTCTGGATGGAATTTAAAGCTAAGGGACTGTGTTTTTTTAGTAACTCTGTTTCATCCACACACTTGCGGGTGCCAAGTAATGGGAATTGGACCTGGCTGGCTGCATTGGCAAGGGAAAGAAGGACAAGATAGTTGGGTAGCCTGGGGTTTTGGATGGAGAACCCACAACACTCTGGAGACTCGGTATATTCTATACAGCTGAACAGGAAGGCTGGATTAGTTCATACAGATGGACATGGAGGTGGGTTATGACATACAGAGAAACAAGGAAGGCAAGGGATCCACTGGATCAAGAAGGCAGGCTTCAGGCTAGAAATATCCTGTGGGAGAAAGCGATGGTGGACGTTTTCTGCTCACACTGTCAACATATGTACTTGACTCCTGGAGAAAGACTTTGCATGTTTCTCAGCCTCACCTGAGGAATACTTTTCTCCATGAGTCCGTGACAAGACCTTACTTGTGTGAACCACACACATCCACTTAGGGTTTCACTCATTTGGGACTGTCTCCACTTCCCACAGGTACGCTCATCTCTATCAGGGAAATAGGACCAAATAGAAAAACACATCCAATCTGATACAGTAAATTAGTGTTCATACTTGAGATAAAATCCCTTACTTCAGAGTAAGCCCCTTACTGTCTTCAATAAACCTTGCTGCATTAGCACCCAAGAGTCTGAGCAACACAGAGAACTGAGTTCAAAGGGCAGACACATAAGCTGGAGATGTGTGCCTGTCTTGAGTTCACTCACTCACCACTCTGACTGGTGGGAGTGTTCAGAGATGGGGTAGCTGTGGTGCAGGGGAGTGGGTATATAGAAGACCCTTGCACTTTGATGAAGACTATCCAGGAACTAGATGTGCATAGGCTTCTGGAAAGATAGGTGCCCAGGCGCTTTGTACAGGATTCTGTTCTCAAGAAGAAAGAACAAGACTGTGTTCAGGGATTGGAAGGTGGGAACTGATTATTTACTGCTGCATAGTACTATGTTTAGAAGATAGAGCACCATAGCAGATACAGTGGCTTTTAATTTTTTAATATATTTCATAGTGTCTTCTTTTTCATAAATAAGGAATGTAAGACACCACTCTCTTACTGATCAGTGTAGAGAGAGCTGAAGCTCAATTTCAGGTTGCCTCTGATAGCAGATACCCTCACAGGCTCAGCATCTTGACTACTAGAACCAGAGACAAAGTAATCAAGGAGTACAGAAGAGCCCACAGCATCCAGGCCATGTGCATTAGAACACGATTATTGCCTCTTTACTGACTACAGTGATGTGGAGACCCAGGAGTCACTGCAGGTTAGGTGTCACTTGCTGTGAAGAATCACAACACAACTATAAAATCTGATGGTGAATAAGGGCATCCTAACCAGAAAGAACTTCCTCCCCCACCCCCCAACCTCATAAAGCCAGGGGACACAGAAGCAATTGAGCAAAAAAAATTAATCTTAGTTGAGACATTCAGGCCTATAATCTCAGCTCTGTGGGAAGATGAAGTATGTGCATCACAAATTCAAGGACAGTCTGGGAAACTTAGTGAAATCCTTTCTCAGAATGCAAACAGAGGCTGGGGGTAAAACATGCAACATGCTTGGGGTGGGGCTAGGCTCAATCCCCTGTCTGTCTGCCTGTCTGTCTGTCTGCCTGCCTGTTTGTCTGTCTCTCTCTTTGTCTTTCTATCTCTGTCTCTCTACCTTTGTCTCTCTCTGAACTCACTGATGCAGGGGAAATCAGCTTCAGCAGAATCAAGCATGGGACTTTGGACTGAGCAAAACAAACTCAGAGACCCTGGGGTTAAGATATTATTCCACAGGTAAGGGATTCAGACTTAGACATGAAGTGGGTCTTCTAAGCCCGCGTAGGTCCCAGTGGAGGGGAGGATACTCAGCCCACCTAATTTTGCCCAGGCGTCATCATCTGGGTGCCTTCTCCTCTCTCACTAATAGCAGTGTCATTTACTTTGTTGTTCCTTAATTGTCTACAAGTGACAACCTGGTAAAAGAGCTATAAGATATTGGCCAGTATGCTACTTTGGGATCTGAGGAAAACAGAGGGGGAGAAAACAGGAGAGAAACCAAATAAACAGTGTTGTGTTGATTTCAACTCTCAATAGGGCCTAGAATCATGTGGAAAGAAAATCTCAATTGAAGAATTACATGTGTCACATAGCCTGTGGGTATTTCTCTGGGGTTGCTTGATAGTTAATCAGTGTAATCCAATGTGTGTGGTGTCTTGAATTGTACAAGATTGAAGAACCCTCGCTGAGTGGAGGCATAGACAGGCAAGTTCCATGGGTGCATTAGGGTCACTTTTTGCTCCCAGCTGTGGATGTGACGTGACTAACTACTTGAATTTCTGCCTTGCCTAACTCGAAATGATTGACTGTAACTTGGAGTTGCAAAGCCACATGTATTCTTGCTTTCCTGTGTTCCTGCTCATTAGGGTATCCTGTCACGGTGATAAAAATAAAAAGTAAAAATAGAGTAAGAATCAGAAACATTTAGCATTGGTTCTGTTACTATATTGCTATAGTATATACTATACACTGTATTATTATGCTGGGATAATAGCAGTGCTTCCCTCACACACATTCTTTGACAGTTAAATGAGATGCATGTAGACTGCAGAACCTGGAGACCAGAAAGTGATTTGGATTCCAACACTGAAATGTACTATTACTTTTATTAGGAGATGGAACAGCCATTTGAACACCCAGTACCATTCAGAATATTGTGTGATGTGAAGCAATTTTATCATACACGTGTCTTGATTGATGCTGTATGATGAGAATGTTTCAGACCATTTATTTCTATTCACTGGATGTCCTGGAGTGTTTCATTTAAACCATCTCATCAGAGTTAATGTGACTGACCATTCTCCTTACTGCCATCAAGTAGGATAGCAGCCTTGAACTGTGTGCTACCAACATAATATCATTACCTTCCTCTGCGCCCTCCTCCAAATGGCGTCTTCTCTGTCTTATCAAAGCTAGGCAGAACAGCACCATCATAGCAAGGAGGAAATCACGATTTAATTTTAGCGTGGGGACCGAGTGACACGCAGATTGATTTAATATAGCCTTCTTCTTCAGAAGAACCACGTAGACCCCTGCTGCAGACTGTGTTCTGAAAAATAAAGCACACAGTGGCACCCGTTCTTATTCTCAAGAGGAGCAGGCTGATTGTACATGCAGAATAGTGTGAAGTATTGTCCCATGACAAGCATCACAGGGCATTTCGCTGCTCTTTATCCAGCTACTTGAGATTGTTTCTCATAGTTTGGAATTATGTCTTTAAAAGTGTTTTTATCATGATGGTAGAAACTCTAGACATGCTTTGATGGCCTCCAGGGACAGGAGTGGAGACGAGGAAAACAAGCTATCCAGTGGTACATTATTTTCCGATTTTTAATGTAGCCTGGAAATATGTAAATAGATACAAAAAGGTAAGACTATGTACTAAATTTAGTACTAGCAACTATTAAATTATATGCATTGAAGTCCTGAGATTTTTGTCTCCTCTGCAATTTCGTGTATGTGTGCGTGTGTGCGTGTGCATATATGTACATGTACAGTACAGATAGGGCAGGAATAATGGTTAACCGATTAATGACTAATACTCCAGAGTGACCTGTTGACTCTCACTGTACTAGCTGAAGCTTCTTTCCCTTCTGTATTTCAGTTACAATTTCAACAAGTACCTTCTTTGATGGTCTGCTGGTGACGGGACTGTACACCTCGACAAGCATCCAGTCTTCTCAGAGCATTGGAGGCTCCAGTGCCTTTGGATTTGGTAAGCTATCCTGTTAGAAGGTTCCAGAAATTGTCAACATTTTATACAGTTATGTCATCTGTTTTGTTTTGGAAACAATCAGTTTTGAAAATATTCAGCTTTTGTTATTAAAAGGGAAAATAATATAAAATCATCTGTGTATGTTTGTGCTTGAAATCAGGTGGATTGAACTGCTGTGTAAATGCTCAGCTAACTATAGTCTTGGTAGGCAATTCTTGCTCTCTTTCACTCTCTCCCCTCCCCCTCCCTGCCCCTCCCTCCCTCCTTCTTTTCCTTTCTCCCCCACCTCTTTAGCATACATGGCTTCTTGACCTGTATTTATTATATTATTCCACTCTCTCTCCTCCCTCCATTGTGCCCTCCAGTGTTTTAAGATTCCCCCCTCCCCTATTTATTCTCCCTTTGCCTTCTTACATGGACATTCCATGTGCGTCTAGTCTCCTGCTTCTGTCGAGGTGTCTTCCTCCTTCCTCCTGATATGCCGTCTACTTTCATGGCATATAAATAAACCCACAGTTTTAAGTCTAGGTTTTGTATATCTGAGGAGACATAATTATTGTTTTTTGAACCTAGCTTGTTTCACTAAACATAATGCTTTTTAGTCGCATCCATTTTTCCAGATAGGTCATAATTTCTCTTTACAGCCTACATAAAATCCCATTATGTATATGTGCCATTTCACTGTTGATGAGCATCTAGGCTGGCTCTGTTTCCTGTGTTGTAACTAGTGCAGACATGTTGGTAGCCGCGGCAGGTGCTGGCAAAGTCCGCCATCGCTAGGTGGCGCTGTCAGCCATAATTCTTCCTAGTAAACAAATAAAGTGCGCATGTGCCATGTAAAGCCCGCCAAAGCTAAGCCCATCCCACGGCGTTTGGCGCGCTACGAGTTTGCGGCCAATCAGAGATGATTACGCCGCTCTAGGGTATATAAGGGCTTTTCCCAGGGCTGGGAGTCGTCTTCTACCACCATTTTGGTTTATGGGAATAAACGTGTTTCTACGGAAGGATTCTGATGTGTGTGTGCGTGTGTGTATGTTTTTGCTGGCGAGACCACTACGCGCGCGCCCTGCACACAGACATCACTGTGGGTCCCCACGTATCTCTGCAGTGTGCTGACCCAGAGCCATTCTGGTATATATGGAGTGTATATATGACAGTTCTGTTTCAGCGTTTCCAGAAACTACCATAGTGATGTCTGCAGTGGCATCATGTGTTGACATTCCCACCAACATCAAATGATAGTTATACCTTCTAGACATCCTTTCTGTCTGTCTTCAGTCCCTCTGCCTCTCTACTGCCATAGTTATTAGACTGGGTCCTGTGGTGATTGTGTAAACTTCTGAGCTTTTTACTCAATTTGATAGACTTTGACATTGTGCATCATTCAGTTTTCACAAATGGCTAGCTATTCCAGTCCTGAGGTGAATGAAAAGTTTCACAGTATTTATCAAGGAAGCATTGCAGAGTAAGCCAGTGATAGTTGTTAAAATAATTTAATTCTGTGAGTAGTTATAAAAGCATGTCAGTTAATACTTAAATTACTCAAGTGTAGTGTTTTTCCTAAACCAGAGACCTGAAAGAATACTTATGTGGAGAGGCAGAAGGCTACATGAGGGTCACTAATCCCTGAGGATTTCCAATTTGGAAATCTCTGTGTTACCCATATGCTGCAGTCACATCAACATAGGATTAAATAGAGTATTCAGAATCAAAATGCAAATTTAATATCTGTTTTTTTAAGACCTAAAATCGTTGGTCTTATGCTAAATTCATAAAACTATAAAGTACTTTCTTTGCTGGGGGGAGGGCAAAGATAGAATCGCATTATTCAAAGCCACCTGTGCTCATGTTATTTATTACGTAAGTATTTCCCTCGGCAGAAGCCAGTGTCCAGAGCACCAGGGCTGAAGCTCCATCACTCCTCTGCTTACTCAAGAGAAGGTCCTGGGCCTTGGGGTTTAAAGGAACCCAGAAGTCACTTCATTGTCGTGCTAGGTTTAATACTGGGAATGTGATCAATAGAAAAGATCCCCGGCAAAATTTTAATCTGCTGATATCTACTGTTTTAAAAATTGATTATTTGGGAATCTCACATCATGCATTTAGATCAAGGTTACCTCCTACTGTGTATCCTTTCCCCCCTAAAAACAAAAGACCCACAAGTTCATTTTGTGTTGATCATGTACTCACTGGGGGATGGTCAAACTCCTAGTGGCCAGCCCCCCAAGGGAAGATGAGTATTTCTCCACCTGCACTCCCACCAGAAACCATCAACAGTGGAGATCAGGCCAGCTTGCCCATGTTCATGTTACCATAGGTGGTCAGGGCTAGCTCTCCTGTGCCCACAGACATCAACATGCCTTCAGTGAACAGCACAGACCACGTGGCCACATGGGCCACAGAAATCAACATGGTCCTTTGGCTATATCAGGACCATCCACTCACTTATGGCCCTCAGAGGCTACATGGACCATGGGCTTCAATGTGGCCTCAGGTGTTTAGACATGCCACTCATATCCAGATATATGGCTCCCAGAGGCAGCAAAGCCTGAAGACATCACTGAGGCATCAGGCAGTGGCACAGAATGCATACATCCACGAGGATCTCAGGATTCCTCTTGGCCTGGGGCAGCAGCGTGGACCAAAAATACCAACATGGCCTCACAGACCACAGTGGTCCTTCAAGGAGATTTAATCCAGAAAGTGAACCTTTCCTCATCTAGGTCCTCATTGCTGTAGTGTTGGGACAGTACCATGGTGTGTTTGGCGTGTTCAGAGTCTGTGTCTGCATCTGCATAAGCTCCAGGCTGCTGCCACCACTTCACCAACACTATGCTCAATTTTCCTACTGTCTTCGTCTCTCCATCATGCATTCATTCATTGTAATAGTGCCTGCAGCCTGCACTGTGAAGGCAGGTGGCCTGGCTAGCTTCTGCTGCCAGTGCTGTGAAGGCAGCAACCTCTGATACCTACTTTTAAGGCTATACATGGGTAGAAATACTCTTCTTAAGTATAAACAGTTCACTAATTAGCCCCAGCCTTTTTGTGATATGCAGAGATGAAGGGTCAACTTATAATTGCATCTATAATTTGTGCATCAATGTTACCGTTTTATTATAGCATAACTCATAAGTGTAGCTGCCAAATTGAGGTGATAAAAATTTAAGACATCCAGCTCAATGAATTTTAGAATAATATTTATCTTAAGTATGCAGTCTTTGCATCCCAGGTTCTACCTTAGTATAGTCAGTTTCAAAAGCTCTGGAGTTGTGGTTTGTAACTTTTAAAGCTCCTTAGATGATTCCTTTTTTATTTTTATGTTAATTAATTAAAAATGTTTCTGTAGTCACAGTTAGCTTTCTTAGTTATTTTCCCCTCACTGTGATAAAAAAAAGAAAGAAACAAAGGAACAAACAAACAAACCTACCCATTATGAAAGCAACTCAAGAGACGAAGAGTTTCTTTGGGGTTATGATATGGAGGAAGTCCTGGTGCTGGACTCTAAGGTATCCAGATGTTGTATCAGTAGTCAGGAAGCAGGTACAGACAAGTGCTGTGTTCAGCATACTTTCTCTGTCTAGTATCATCTAAGACCCAACACCATGGGATAATTTGGTCTGTCTAAAACCCAATCCCATAGGATGATGCGGTTCACTTTTAGGGTAGCCCCTCTACCTCAGTTTACCTAAGTAAGAGAGTACCTCACAGGTATGCCCAGAAGCTTGCCTTCCATGTGACCATAGGTTCCATCAAGTGGACAGTATTGAACATCACAGTCACCCAGGTTGTTCTTGACTCCTGGCAGTGCTCTTATCTTAGCATCCCAAGCACTGGGAGTACAGTATGAATGGTCAAGCTGGAATGACACACTGCTGGCTTTCTACACGCACACGCACACGCGCACGCACACACACACACAATTACATATACTGTACATGTGTGTGTGTGTGTGTTATATGTGTGTTTGCATATTACGTACACATACATATACATATGATACAGCATATAACGCATCTGCATAGTTATAGGATTACTCCAGATGGGGTATAACAGAAACTCGGGTAGGAGTGGAGTGGGGGACAGTCATTTTTCAAAAACAAATGCCCTGGGTAATTTTGATGACTATTTCCACTAATCTAGGAGATAGACAGTGGTTAAATGATCAATAAAAATATAAGAGCATGTACAGGGAATTTATAGAATATGAAATTTAAGAAAATTTCTGTTTTAGAGTACTGAGGGATTGTGGTAGGATGAGGGTGAAGTAGTATGGTATTCTTTGATGCAGAACAAAAGAGTAAGGAATTAGACTCAGAGTAAGAATGCATAATTTGTCATTAGTCTCTGACTGTTTTGATGGAATGATAAGGGTGATTTGCTTTGCATTTCCAGTGTATCCTAGGATTAGCCTTGGATATGTTTAACTAGCTGTAACAAATAAGGCAAAGCTTATAGCTGAGTTTAAATAGATATTCAGGCAATCTTTTTCCTACTTAGAGCTAATTTTAATTGTATTAATTACACTAAAGTTCTAGCTTCTCTCTTGAATATCAAATGCACATCAGAACAGTCCAAATTAGGCCATAATTATTCTTCAGATACTGTTGTAGAAACATAATTCTTCTAACATAACTATAGCCTTTTATGCAAAACCAGGATTCTTTAAATAAAATGCATGCCTCACTGACTAAAAATAGACAAATGCCTAATAACCAGAAATACATTAAAACAATAGCCATGCAGAGACACAGTACCACAGTGGTGCCTGGTTTGAAATGCCTTCTTTCTCTTGTCAGCCAAAGGAAACACACTGCCCTGGGGAAGTGTGATGCTTAATTATGGTTTTCTCTTTGTGTATCCCAGAAAAAAAATAAGAAAAGCATTTCCCTCTTGTCTTTGGCTTTGAATTCCAGCGCAATCATGTAAATCTCCAAGGCTTATTGTAGTTGCTCAATGAAGGGATATTTGAATATCCTTTCATATAAAATTGTTCCTTTGCC